GCGGGCCGGAGAGAGGGAGGAGGGCGGATGGGGAGAGCCGAGGACGCCGGGGACGGGCTCCCCGCCGGCACCGGGCTGCCCCCGCCGCCGCCCCGCCCCCGCCCGCCCCCGCTCCCTCGGGCCGGCGGGGGGAGCGGGGGCCGGCGGCAGCAGGTCCCGGGCCGTCCCGGGAGCGGAGTGGGGCCGGGGAAGCCCAGCGTCGGCTCCCGCCGCCGGGCCCTGAGGGAAACGTGCCGCAAGAAGAGTGCCAGGTCCAAGGTCGGACATCTTCTCCCCTGGCTTTACGAATAAAAATAACTGGAGAGGTATTTTAAACCGGGAGAAGTTATGTGGCCTCTGTGTCGCGTTACATTTGTTTAAATCATAACATAATGAAAGGTGTTGACCTGTTAAAATCCACGTGGCAACTGTTTCACTGCTGTACCTGTACCAGAGAGACACCGGTTCTGTTCCCATTCCCCAGTAGCAAACCCATCAACTGGTACCAACAAAAGGTAACGTGAAAATTCTGGCACCGACCTGCTAACAACACTACTAGTATTTCTAAAATACAGACTTTATAAAGCATATTGACCCATCAAACATGTTTTCTTCTTGAAACTGACAACAAAACGGCGTGAAGAGGTTTGTTTCCAAACCCACACTTTGTGCCCCAAATCTCCTGTCTAGCTCTGACTGCAAAAGCTGCACAACCAGCCCCAGATAATCCCAGACTGGGACAGCTAACACTGGTCTTCTCATTTCACAGAGCTAACGTAACAGCAACCCACACAAAGAAAGAAAAGCCAAAAGCAAGACACACTGTCCAGCACCTGCAGTACTATTTCTTCTATCATGTATATAAGGGAATTTTGTTGACAGTCAACTTCCCCTCCCAACTCGGATCCCTCGCAAGCCATAAATTGTAATTCTTTACCAGAACTGGTGACAATTACACTGCTTCCCACACCCTCGCTCCAGAGCATTAACGATGATGAATGGCACGAGCAGAGGACGGAGGGGCCCGGCCCAGGGCAGGGGCAGGTTCAGCAGTGTGTCAGCAGCCGTCCCTCGCAGTGCTACGGGCATGGCCGAGCATCACATGCCTGCCATCACTCTCCATGCATGGGGATTTCATCCCTGCTCCTCATGGCTATCCTCCCCTCTCCTGACATTCTCCAGCTTCTTGCTGCCCGTCTACTTACGAGACTCACTGCTATTTCTCCTAGAAATCCCACTTTACCACTGTACCTGAGACTTTGGGACAGTCACAGCTGACAGCAAAGACACTCCTCATTTCCTCTTGCCCTTCTTCTGTGACAGAAGCTGTGTTCACGGCAGTTTGTGCCATTGCACTATAGAGTCTTCCAAAGTCCTCACCTCTTTCTTGGAAGGTAGATGAAGAGATGATGGTGGTCAATTCTGAGAGATGAAGGGAAGGCGTGAAAAGATCATTCTTAAACCTGTAAGAAGGTGTGGTTTGTTTTGTTTTTTTAAACAAACAAACAAACAAAAACACCACCACCACAAAACCCCAAAAGCTTTTCTAAAGACTAAACATCCGTAGTTTCACTCAAACAGTTCCTGTAACTCTGCCTTCCCCTGCACACACAGCAGGCCGTTCACAGCTCTCAAATATCAAACCCTGGGAAATCATGTTTCAGCATCGCACAGGGCAGCGCTCCATCTCCTGGGAAGAGGGACACGGACAGCAGGGCAGGAGCAAGCCCTTGTATCCTGGAGCACCCCACACAAGCACATCCTCAGCTGGCTGGAAGCCCCGTCACCGAGCTGCCTGCAGCTTAAACACGACGTTTCACAGGACAGGACCCCGACATTTCTGAGAGTCTCCTAAGTCCTGGCCCCCATGATGGGGCCCAACCCAGTGGTGGCAGGGTGGGTAAGGGAATCACAGCTCAAAGTCCTTATCAAGTGATCTTTTTAAAAACTTATGCAGCTCTAAGTGGCCACCAGTAAAATTACAGGTCTTGAGAGCTCTTTAAAAACTTGCCATTGGGGCTTATACCTGTGAGGCCTAGAAATAAAAGAGCTCAAATGGAAGGTCATATTCACTAAGCTTGAGGCACTTGCCTCAAGATCTGCCAATTTTCCTTATTTTTTAAAATATATTTTCCTTCGTCAAATAGAAAACAGTCCAGTTTTTATTTTCCCATTCTACTTTTTTCTGCACTCCAACCTCTTAATATGGTCATTAATATTCCTCTAACGCAATTTTGGCAGTAGCGTTTTCCTTTCTTGTGGTCTCAACCACGTTATCCCTACCACCACCCTTCCTCAGCTCAGATCTCGCACGCAATTACAACCATACAGCTACTTCCCCTCCACCCAAACCATTAATTATCCCTGCTTCCAACCCCCTTCATAAGCTCCATAAAACATACTCCATGATAAAATGCCTTAAATCCCACCTTCCCTCTACTTCAAAAATAAATCTCGGAGACCTATTCTCTAACATGTTCTATTTATCTAAATTACCTACTTTTTTGTGTTTGTCTTGTATTGTAACCAGCTAGATTGTTTTGATAACTTATCTCTTAGAGAGAAAAACCTGTTTTATCCAGTGCTTAAGGGTCATACTGAACACAAGGCACTTCATAAACAAGGCAGATCGTCTATCCAATGGCAGATAACTGTGGGCCATCTGTATATCCAAATACTGCCTTTATTCAAGATGTAATAATCCAATTTCTAGAGATCCTCAGTAGCATCATACTCGGAACACCTAAAAAAACCAACCAAACAAAAAAAAAATCAAAAAAATTATAACCAAACCAGAACACCTAAAAAAACCAACCAACCAAAAAAAAAAATCAAAAAAATTATAACCAAACCTACATTATATTGTTAGTCCGGTTAGAGAAAAAGCTTGAAAAATGTGAGAATAATTTTTGAGATAGTTCAAATTAGGAGTAACAAACTCCATCAGCGCCAATTTTTAAACAGAATTGCAAAAATCCAGGTTTACAACTTTCTCAGACTTTTCAGCAGTTACTACTACAATTCTTGCCATACAACAACCCCAGTAATTTTCAATCCCCTTTCATGGAAGCTGCTTTTAAAGGGGTTTCAGCCATGCGTCCTGAACAGTTTGCTAAGACTACATCTACACAGTGTGTTTGGTCACACACTATCATGAAGATGGTGTTTGAAAGGTTTGCTAAATTAATCTGCAGGAGAGCTGATTTACTGTAAAATTAAAACAAACAAAAAAAGCCCTCACTTTTGAAATGCAATTAAAACTACAGGAAAGCAAAGACACACAGGAACACCTCGGATTATCCATCTTCCCACCATTAAGATGTATCAGCAGGTGGTTTGTATCAACATAGCAGCAGGAAGTGCTTCCAACTATGAGAAATGTAACATTAGCCCCAGGCCTCCAGTCCATCACAGCTCTTCTTGATTCCCTGGGTTTCTTGGCTTCCCAGTCCCTCTCCTTGGTGCTTATCCAAGTAACCATTAGTCAAAAAGAGATGGATAAGCTGTGTCTCTTTTGAAGTTTTCCCTGTGTTGTCTAGTGTTCAGCTAGCAGTGGAAAAAACATCCCTCACTTCACCAGCGTGTGCTGATGCCAAATGCCTCCCACCAAATTCTCAGACATTCACTTGTCGAAGGCAATGTCCTCCACAGAGTTCAACGCTCGTGGCCGATCTTCTGTAAGCCTCTTTGACTTCAGCATTACGCTAGTACATGGTTTGGCCCTTGGTTTGTAGGAGCACAGGAGCTGCCAGACAGCTGGTAACACCCCACCGGGGAGAGCCAGATCTCCGTTGGAGCAGGGAACAGCCTCTGTGTCATCTGGCCTCGCACAGTGCCTCAGTTAGGGTAAGCCTCATGCTCTCCAAATCACCAGTATGCATCAATGTTACACCACACACCCTCTCCTGAATCTCAGGAACGCAGTGATAAGATACACATATGTATAGCTTATACATTTATACCCTATATGCAGCAAAGATCTAGCTAGACTTCTCTGACAGTGAGTTGCAGTTGCTCTAATTCAGTCTTACTTGGTAAATCCTTAGCACTAAGGAGAGCTGTTTCTTCCTCCAAATAACCCTGCAGGAAGAGGGCCTTGCAAAGTGAGAGGAAGGCAATTTGTAGATCTGGTGTTTTGTGAAGAACAGAGTTGTACAAGGATCACAAAGGGGAAAAGAACATTCTCTCCCTTTTTCTTCTTTCTGCATGTTACAATTCTCTGCTCCAGATGTCTCCCCCAGCTTAGAAAAATAAATCACAAAATAGGCAGGATGTAGATGGCCCTTGAATAAATCCACCTCAGTGCTCCCTCCAAGTTCAAGATAACCTTAATATAAGAGTGGCTCTTGAGCAGGCAGCCCAGGCAGACACCTGGATAGATGAAATATAGTAAGTGTCTTAATGTTTTAGTAAAGCATTTATGCTTGAAATAACACACTTCTGGGGAAAAAAATACCACTTAACTTCAAATACCACTTAACTTCAAATTTTTTTCCTTCAAAGTCTGAGCATGAGTTTAAGAATTCAGTAGCAATTTATTCTCCAGAATTCTTAGTTCTTTCACCATCACCAGCTGATACTTATATTCCAGGTCAATATTCATGTACTCGCTCAGGAGCTTAAATGCATGTTTCAGCTGCTTTGTATGACCAAAGCATACAGCCTCAAGTCTGTCTATAACAGACTGAATTTTTCTTCTAAATAATATTTGCTATAGAAAGCAGTCTCATTTTTTGCTGGTATTTTAAGTAACATGCATATTATTCAGTGCCTGAGAAAGTTGTCGTGCACAGCCACTTTTTAAAAAAATCTGTTACAGAAGTTCAGCTTTTCATTTACCTTCCCGATAACTTTATGACACTTCATCAATTTTTTAAAAAAAATTATTTTCTTTTTAAACAAAACTTTATTTCTCCCCTCTTTGTCTTTTTTCCTGGTACATATAGTAGAAAGAAATCACATCAACAACAGAAAAAAATCTCCTCCCTGTTATAAACCTCTTACAGTTTCCATTTCAGTTCAGAAGAGTGCTGTATTCCTGTAAAGCACCAGTGGATACTTGTTTATGTCTTTCTAAATTTATGCTTAATCCGAATATGACCACAGATGGCCAAACTTTTGTTTTGGGTTGTCTTTACAAATGGTTGACGTTGGAAACATAACAGCCCAGGATGGCTAAAGATAAGAGAACTGACGATCCAGTGAGGCTGAATTTGGAAGTAAATCAAATTTGTTTTGGTCCAAAATGATTGCACTTGGAAAAAGAACTACACTGTCTAGAAGCAGTGACAGCTGTTGCAGATATAAGAGATATAGTAGTGACCTCAACTTATGAGAAACAAGAAATACTGTTCTAAGTACAAATTTTTATGCAGGTTAGAGTTCAGAATTAGCAAAATCACCACTCTCCCTCTCTCCAACGTATATACAAACATATATACACACACTCTCTCTGTATCCACATTATATAAAGTAATACATATAAATTAGCAAAATTACTCCAGACTACGAAAATAAAGTCAATATAAAGATTGATAATATTCATGAAAAAGACAATTTTAAATAATACTCTGAAATCAAACATCATGAATTTAAAGAATTTGAGTTAATATTGGATTTCAAAGAAATCTAAATTTATTAAGGTAAGAGATTCCTTAGTGGGAGCAATCACAAACCCACATCTTTTTCACAGCACTACATTATAACCATAAGTTCATGCTTTAGGTATTTATCTCTCGCGATCCCATGCCACTGGAAGGGTAGTGGCTGAAAAGGTCAGCACTCCAGCTGTCCTTTCTATCTCCAGGACAGTGGTGGCTGAGCTGCCCCAGTGTGGGCTCTGTGTCAAAGCAGTTTAAAGACCTTTATGTTAAGACAGTAGTTCTGTCAGTTGTCCCAAAGTAACTTATCCCCTGCTTATGATTTGAGACATTATTCAGTTTCATTATTTCACTACAGGGCAAAGCAGTTGTTCTTGCACTGGAAATGGTTGGGCACACATTAAGAGATTATAGGGAGATCTTTGTCCCTATATTGAAGGGAAGAAATCAGGGATTGAGAGGCAGATACAAAAATGCAGCCAATATCTATCTGTGTTGTTCTTGTCATTTAAGAAACCCATTAACCCATTTGAACAGAGCACATGCAAACATTTAAGAAGCGGATCTTCACATAAACACTGAATAGTTGAGGTTGGAAGGTACCTCTGGAGATCATCCAGTCCGCCCTCCCTGCTCAAGTAGGAGCACTTAGAGCTGGTTGAAACAAATCTGCTTGCAAGAATTGTACAATTTTCACTGTAAACATTTCCACATCAACTACAAACTGCTTCAGGTCAAAAATTGTATTTCTCATTGCGTTATGCTGCCTTGCAAGTGATCAGGAAATAGTGGACAATCTGTTCCAGATTCTTCTTTATCCTCTTTTAAATTAGGTTCTCATCTTATAAGGGTCATAAGATTCATAACTTCCATGTGGGCTAATTCTGGAGAATGCTAAATTATTCGCAGGGCTGCAGTTGGAAATTAAAATATAGGTGGAGGTGAGGAAAATACTCTTTCCGTTCACTGGTATGTTATAGTACAAGGCCAAACTAACTTCATGGAAGTTAGCAAAGGCAATATATAGCAAAGGCAGACTATTCCCAAGGAACAGGAGTTACCACATCATGCAGCTTTCATCATTTCACATTTAAGGGCAAGGAGAGATGAGATCAGTGAGACGTTACAGAGGGAAGAAAAAAAAAAAAGCTATTTTACTATATCATGGATATAGTTTCTACCACTTGCTCAACCAAAATCTTAGTCTGCATTATTTCTGTAGAATATATTAGCAGGTAGGTACAAAATAGGAAAAATGAAAAAACAAAACCAAAACCCTCTCTCTTGGTAACAATCTGTACTGATAGTATTCCAGAAGGAATGTCACAACAACTCTCCCATTTGTTTTCTCTTTGTTTCAGGACGGTTTCCATGGATCCCCAAACCTAGGCCCCACTGAAGGGTTCCCCGGAGCATAACACCATGTAGCAGCAGGTCGCAGACAACATATCACATACACAACACAAACACAATTCCAGTAGCACAGTCAACACATTAAAACCCTTGCAAATAGTTCGCTGTTTAGGACACCAGCACACTAGTATTTGAGGAAAGAGAGAACGCTATTAGAAGTGCAAATAACTTATGCAGTCCCTTGTGCTGTATTAGCTTTTAGTTCTAGGGAGGGAGAACTATCCCAAATGAGGTTGAGGCAGCATTTAGTGCTGGGGTGGATGTAGTTATTATTGCTCTACCACACCCCAATGCATCCATCCATGCCACAACTAGCTTAGGTGAAACGTCTTCTGCAACTCTGACCTTTCTCAGCTGTGAAATCATTCCAATATGTCTTCAAATTTACCATTACTGCACACGAACCTACACCTCCCTACAATATCTGAAGTTACAAGTACTGTAAGTGTGATTTAAGCCAACTGGCTCTTATGAAATCTTGTTTGTTTCTTGGAGTGACGCTTAGCGCATTTCTTCGTGGTAGTTTAAAAAACTAATCTGCTGTCCGCGTGCCAAAATAGAATTTGTCATCTGCCAAAAAATGACTTTCCCAACACTGTCCAGACTATTATCTCAAACCTGACCCGCAATAATTAACTTCCAAGCATCTGGGAGGTTAAATTGCTCAGTGACCTCTCTTTTTCTATACAAAAGCAACACTCATTACATGAGAATCACTATTTAGTTTACACTCATTTTTCCACTCAGGAAAAATAACAGAGTACCTGCCTGCAAAACCCACTTTGTTACACCCTCATTAGTTTTATCAAATGCAGTCTTCCATCAAGTACTTGACAGAAAATTTGTGAGAATATGCCCATATTTGAAAGCAAACCGAAGAGCAAAAAAGGCTCCTATGTTGCTATATAATCCTTATTGCAGAGATAGTAAATGGATGTGAAAATGGATTTTGCCACTAATCAAATATCTATGTAAAAACATCACTGCTTACAGACATGACAGCAGATAATCCAAAAAGTGGTAGGAGAAGGACCTGCTGATACTTTACTGGTTGCATGTTAATTTTCTCTGTAGAAACTGTATTATGTGGCCAAAGAACCACCATCGAATGCTAAAGAGTAAGGTTGCTCTGACATTAGCGTGACCAGCTACTGACCTCTGCCTCTTCAATTGGCAGCCATGAATTCCAGCCATTTCATACTTCAGATGGCATTTGGGAAAACTTCTCTACAGACCCTCGTAACATTACAATGACATGCAAGGAAAGATAACTATACCTTAAAGAGAACATTGAAGATGCAAACTGCAAGCAACAGAGACTTAAGGGTGAAAAGCAAAAGTTACAGGTGCCGTTACCAGTCTGAATGCTCTGAAACCTCAGTGGTTTGTTAATGTTGTTAATCTGCCCTAATCTAAACCTCACAAATTCTCTACTGCTGCCCTAAGGGTAAAAATGCTAATGATAATGGAGAGAAAGCTGGACCCACTGGCTTTGCCACAGGCCACAATTACTCTGTGACATTAAGAGTAAAAGCTTGTCCCGCTCAATGTTGAGCAGCAGTAGTATGGGTCAATGTATGCATGTTATCAGTGGATGTCACAGGCTTCTGACAGCAGACTAAGGGAAAGGCTGTGTAATCCTGCCCAGACCCAGGAATGAGAACCAGGAGGACACTGAAATAGGCACAGACTCATCTTCCTTTCTCTTGTCTGCCCCACCCTCCCCCCCCAGCCTGTCTCGTCTCCTCATCTTTTATCCCCACCCTGTTCTTTTCCCTTCCCCTGCTGTCAGGCACAGGTTTCTAGCCTGTTTCTAAATCTTTCCTCAGTTCCAAGTGCCAAGCTCTGTCCTCAGGACTACTTTTCCTTTGTATCTCACTATGGCTCCTAGCCATATGCTCCATAGCTGGTTTCCTTTCCCCCCTTCTTCTTAATCCCTGCCTCCTTTCTTGAAGTTCAAAACCTATGTTCTCATTCCCCAGCCAATCCTCATAACCCTGTAGCTTATTTTTTCCATTGACTTTTTCATTTTCCTTTCCCCTAGCAGTTTCCCTCCTCATGGTAGTTCCCATTTCCCTCTCCTGGCAGGGCAGTAGCCTCCAGTCCTATGAGATTGCCCATCTCCATCACCCTGGCACAGCTGCCTACATACAACAGGTAATGCTGGACAACCTCTAGCCAGCTCTGCTCAGAGTCCTGCTCCTCAGGCCACCCCACAGCCCTTGCTTCCCGGCACAAACCAGCCCAGAGGACCCAACACTGCCCCACACTGTCACATCACTTTGGGCCCTAATGTCCCCAGCACGTGAAGGAAGGGGCAGAAGAAAAGGGAGGCTGTTTTGGCCTACTTGGTACCTGCCTTTCAACTGTTCTCCAGCCCTTTGGTATACAAGTTTTAATTGAGGCTATTTTGAAGGATCTGGACAAGTTTAACGGTTGTAATAAAATCAGTGACAAGGCTTTCTCTAAAATTTTGTGGAACTAGAAGAAATTTTAACTGATCAATTTCAAGCTCACATGAATTCCTTTCCCACAAGAAGGCTGAAAAACTGAAACAATTTTTTAAATTCATACAACTCTTATCACAAAACTCTTAATACACAATGCTTAATTATTCTTTTAAGGAGATACTATCGCATAGATGACCTCAGCAACTACAACCAATCACAAACTCGTACATCGTCTAGGAGTGCTCCACTGCGGGGAAAAAATAACAAAAATATATGTGGCTAACTTTATTGCCATAAATATTAAGGGCTGTCAATCTGACTAATCACACACCTTGAGTCATTTCACTGAAGTCAACAAGTTAACTTGTAAAAACAACAAAAATCTCAGTAAGCAAATAATGATAAAATCTTTTCCGTCAAAGACCAGCAAGTCAAATTCATTGCAATTAATGATATTAATGAATTAAATGAAATCAAGGTGGCCTGCTAGCATTTTTAGTGTATATGTTTGTGTGCATACAAGCAAGAATGCATATAACTGAGTGCTCAGAAGTCTCTTTTGTAAAATTCACTGGGTATCCTGGCCAAGATGAATGCTGTATTTTAGCTGTTATTTCCATTCATAATTGAATTGCAATTTTTCAGACAGAATAATCTCAGAGTTTTCATATTAAAATGACAGCAGTTTATGAATCAATTTATGGGCTTTGTCATCTAATGATTCATTTATTTTAAAAAGCCCAAAGTAATATCGATGATTCCTTTCATTGCATTATACATCACATGTTATGTCAATTGCTCCTTATACGAGCTTGGGCTTTTCTTTATTAGTTTCTTCCCCATTGTTGCACTTCCCACTGTTGTTGTTGGAATACAAACAAACAAAGAGACTCACCTCAGAGGTATTAGGCTTTTCTTATGACATCAGTGTGTAGGCTGTCCATAATCGAGGCATCGGTTAGTCACTCGCACCATCTGTGTGGGCCTGGAGAAAGCAAGATGTAATCTGTCATATGGTGAGCTTTGTACAAAACAGCAACAATCCGTATTCAGCTGCGCAGATGAAATGGATCCCTTGAGGAGCTGCAGCCTGCCAGAGCGTGCGCTTGTGGGTGTCAGCTGCTGGGGGTCAGCTCTTCATAACGCAACAAGGGAAAACTTTCTGTTTGTCCAGACAAGAATCGGGAGGGTGGTGGCACTTTCACAGACTAGAGTTTGCTAGCCAAACTGTGGTGGTATTAAGTAGCACTTTAAAATTCCAGAGCTAACATCCTTTCTCATTTTTACTGACGTAAAAAAAATTTGCTCTGGGATGATTTGAATACAAGAAAGGAGAAAGTGATGAAATCATTCCTTTTAGGTTTTTACTCCCCACAGGAGTAAACCCATTGTCTTCCCCGGCCTCTCTGATGCTACCACAATGTTGTTCCTCAAAGCGGGGAAGGCAGGGGTCTACCATGCAAAGGAAAAGGCTAAATGCATAGTTCTCAGGTCTATAAAAGTCTCCCTGCATAGCAGCGTGCGAAGGAAGAACAGGACATGCACAGGATATATCCCCAGGCTACCTCACCTATTTAATTGGAATTTATGAAAGCATTACTTTGTACTCACACCTCTCAAATAGCATGTCTCCACTGACTCCTTTGGCAGTCATCTCCAGACTTTATTTTTAGTGCATACAGATGACAATTACATGAAGAAACAGCAGTATTTTTACCTATGCCTCATGCATGTTCCCAAGACAAGTATAGAAGAGCCTTTACCACCCAACATCAAATTACTTCAGCTTATGCCAAATTCCTGTGATACTTGTTTTCACTAAATAGGTATCTTGTCAGAATCCTTGCTGTTACAGATACTGTAAGACAACACCAATGCCATGCCAACTACTTCATTTTTATAAAGTATATCTGTGGAGATGATTTTCAAGGCAAATTACTTACTCTAACCTCCGTTTTGCAGTAGTAGCAAGTAGCCTAAAAAGGCATTATTAGTTGCTAAGCAATGATTCTCCTTTCTCCCTTATATACTGTTTGCTACTTTTTTGGACCTTTTCTTTTTTAAAAAAAGCAAAGAACTCTGGTAATTATTTTCAGAGTAAGAATACAATCTCATGCACAAATTTATTATTGAGCATAGTTATTTTTAGGGAAAGTTGGGGTTTTTTTCCTAGTGGCTAGTTTCACCACAGAGACACAGATGAGCATAAATACTTTTCCCAGCTGCGGCTGTGGAATGGAGAACAGAACTGAGTAGCAAAGAACTGTGATCTTTAGCAAACAAAAGACTCCAAAATTCTGAGGGAGAAGAAACACAGTCTGTCTTCCCATCCCAACAGTCATCAGAAGGGGAAGAGCAAGCTTTCTACTGTATAGCTTGTTTTCTGCAAGCACTAGAGCCAACCCTTTTTATGTTCTGTTGCATCTAATAGCATGTGCTCTTTTTGTATAGTTTCTAGGAGAAGTCTCCGTGGCCCATAAGGGCAGATAGATGAGACAGTTATAAGTATCATAACAAAGCTCTCAGGACATAGGGGTAGGAGAGCTGGAAGATGCCTATCTGGAAGAAGTAAAAAATGCAAAATAAGGAATGAGTTACTGCCAATGTGTTTCCCCCAGAGCCTACAACAAACAAAGTTAGGTTAACCATTAATAAAATCACAGATTTTGTTACAACAACTAGTTCAACTATTATTTTGAACTAACTCGATTCCAAGTTTAATGCAGCCCAGCTAGTGTCACATGACTGGCAGACACACACAATTAGTGAGTGTTTTCATGAGTCAATTGGAACTATTTGGGAGCTCTATTTAAAACTTTTTCAAGTTCAGGGGATGACTGCAAGTAAATTCACTTCATTGGAGTTGTTAGCTTGATGACATGCCTCTTTAAATCAAACCTTTTCTGTCATTCTTCCTTACCCTCTCTTACCTTCAATACCCGCAGCATAAGTCTCTAGAAAAATTAATATTTTAGGGTATCTCCATTTTGCCTACCATTTTTCAACAGCTGATTCCCAGACAACATCTCCCATGCCCTCCAAGTTAAACACCAATAAAGCATCTGAGCACTCTAAAACGGGAGTCAGTTCAGGCCTCAATCCAAACCCCTTAAAATCTATGGGATATCATGGTAGCCTAGCCGTTGGTTTTGGACATTTATGTTCCCATCAGTTCTGACTAGAAGGCCTGGTCCTATACATCACATATGTGAAACTGTTTGGTTCTAGGTCACACGGTAAGGACAACCGAGTAAAGGTGTGACAGAAATACTGATAAGTTACTTGCATTGAAAGAAAAGCACAATTAGCAACTTTATTCAGTTATTTTGTAAGCAACTGTGCTTAGCAGATAGAAGTAGTTTTTCTGAAAAGATGAAGGAGGCCCCTGAATTTTATGAAGGAGTGAACAAATGCATTTTGGCTGCCAGATGCCCAACACACACAACCAAATTCCTAGTGGTCTAGGAACAAAGCTGCAACATGATTATTGCTGACACGTTAGGAAGTGACAGGGGTAAATAGTTTTGGTTGTTAAAATTAGTAAAGCAGGCTACCTTTGTTCTTCCATTCATGTGCAAAATAGATAAGCACTGAATAGTCTCTAACTATTTTATTTCGATCTCTTTATGTCAACTTTGTGTACTGCCTTTAAAAAAAAATTAGCATATATTATGATGTTTGGATTACTACCATGTGAGATAATTGAAAACACAATTACATTACCTCTCTGACACAAAGCTTTTTTCCAGGATGGTTACATGCAAGAAAGGCAAGCCATGTTGTAAGCAATGAGATGAAAAGACTGGAACAAACTGTATGCAATTAGCTTAGTACACTACATGGAATTGGCCAGAATTCAGATGTGGTACAAATGAGTATAAACAAAGGAGTTGCATTTGCTTACCTCATGTCTGAATCTCGCCTATTGATCTCAGCATATGAAAAGGAGTGGTACTGGGAGTAATTTAGCTGTAATTCCTGCTCTGTTGTTGTTGAATGGCTGTCATTGACTTCAACCTGCAGAAGATCAAATTCAGAAGGGTTAAGAATTTCCCTACTTTTACAAGCATTATCTTCAAAGCAGAGGCAGGGCACAGAGGTTTGATCCCAACCACCTTTAAAAGAAAAAAATATCAATAAGACCTTTGCTATAAAACTTCAGTGGAATCAGGATTAAGGTTTTAGGCCACAACTGAAAAATCATGTGTGATAAATAACACTGTACAGTCAAACTAGTTTAAGATAATTCTACTGTTATGTGCTTCTGGTGTTCTAAGGGAAACAAACCAGAACTTGTTGAAAAAAATAGCCTTACAAACATATAGAAATATATAAGAGCAATCAGAATGAGCACAACTCAGAGAAGGGTTACACATAGCAAACAAACCGTGTTCACGTTGAAATGCATGAGACGTGCTTCCTTTCACTGGAACACATTTTATGATTTTCAAATCAATCTAATCTTACTGGAAGTGACACCATCACCACTGACCATAAAGTATAATCTCACAGCACTACTTTTTAAGGCAAATAATTTTCAGAAAGAAGAAAAGAATAACTGTTCTTAGACATAGTACCTGTTGCTAGCCCTTTCCCAGGATGCAGCTGCCACCTGCATGGTACTTGTAGTCCTGTATAGCTTCGGGTAAAAACACAGCCTTAATAACTTTTTTTTTTTTTTTTTTTTAATTTCACTTTGGTGCACTATTGCCCTTGTTAATCTTCAATTCCCAAGTGTTAGGAAAAGAAGAGATTTTTGACTCCAGGGACTACAGCCACAGCCCATGGAAAGCAGAAGCAAGCGAAAGTCTTTTGGTACACCCAATTCCCTCCCCAAGACAGACAGACATCATTTTTTCAGATGAGACACAGCCGGCACTCCACAAAACAAAAACAAAAAGTTTTTTTAAAGCGTATGACACAATGGAGGAAAGAGGTTAGTGTTGAGGGTAAATTCCAGATCACTCGACATGTTTTCCTGGATTGTCTCTTACATAACCCCCAAAATTCAGTCTCTCAACAGCCTGCTGGGAGCAGAGGGGAGTGGGTCGGGAGCTCCTTGACAATACCAGCCACATATGCGTATACACACACAGCCACCACACACACAGCAACAAGAATTAGCTAGTCCACTGCAAATGTCAGCCAATTTATGTAATATCCTTTTATTCAGCATTTCTTATTCACTGGAGGGTGAAAAATCTCAGTAACAGCCTTTGAAGAATCGGAAGTGGGGGAAGTTGGTTTCATAGTCTTTCCCCAGTCACTGTTGCTGTTGGCTGTTTGATAGTCTATACGTTACTTCCATTCAATAACCAGTGAACAAGCAGGCGTTTGTTTCATAAGAATCACCAGTGCAACTGGTGTTAATAAGTTCTAATTGTTATTAACAGCAGCTGTCATTTTAAGTTGACTACGCATAACAGCTCTGGGCTGCTGCTGGTCATGTTATCCCATGAGGCGCACAGAAGACTTACTCCAGAATAGAATTTGTCCAGAGAATAGTTTTTCAGATGGCAGAGCGCCAGAAAGTACAGACTGGATGACTTGCTGGTTTAACACACCTAGGAAATGGAGGAACAGCTAATAAGTGGGGAGGGAGTATGGAAATGAACAGACTGGATATAAATAATACCATTGATTTCCCCAGCCAACCTTTCTAGTGAAGAAATACATTGGTGGTATTTGTATATTTACAGCACCTTGAAACAGGACCAAGAATCTCACCTGTTCAGCGCTTCAGAATTCCATCGTGAAATACAACCTTTGACACTACACTACATTACTTTTCTATTATTATTTTTAAATTACTTTCATTTCAGTGCCCTAATTTCCTGTTCTTTCATGGAGAGTGAGCAGTAATAAGCTGTTATGAATGCTGCAGCTTTTTATAAAAATTGGAAGGAAAAAGGAAGAAAGCTGATTTTCTATTCAACACAAAGCAGAAGAAATTTCAGTTAATTGGCTTACAATCAGAAACAAAAGCTTTTCTGATCAAAGTAAAGCTTACAATGCACACCAGACATAATTCTGAAATTAAATCACATCCCTTCACAGGTATTAAAAAATCTTAAGAAAAATTTAGGGTTAAAGTTCTGAAACCAAGTACAGAAATTCACAATTAAATACCTGGTCTCTATTTCTATAACAATGTCATAAGGGAAAAACAAAACACTCAATCAGCAAGCACAAAAGCTTTCATTTTTACATTTGTTACAGTACTTGTGTTTATTATGAACACTTTTATTGACTTCGAATGCCCACAGAAAACTCACCTGATGAGCCTTCCCTTAAAAGCAATTGGTTTATGGCTCCTCTTCAAAGCATAAAAAACAGTTTTTCCTACTCAAAAATTCTTAGAAACTGATTATACATTTAGGATTATCTATATTAGGTAGTTGACTTTTTATTATTTTTTAAAATGATGAACGTTCAAAAAATTGTGTAACGTTTGGTTTACTATTTTATTTTGTACCTAACTGGTCAAACCGTTTTCTTGCAGCTGTTTTGAACCTCCATGATAAACTAATCTGTTTATTCAGTCTCATGATTGATCTGATCTACATGAAGGAATTTTATTCTGGATAGTTTTGGTTTACTGTAGTCATCTTCAGTTCTAATGAATACTTCTGGGTTTGATGGTGAAGACAGATCTATTCAACATACAAATCTAACCTCTAAAACTGAGGGTAACATTATTCTGTGAAAGATAGGGGTGGGCGGAGAAGATTAAAAAATGAATCTGGTTTGCATGGAAGGAAGTGTTCAGCAATAGTCTTAAACATTGTGTCAGCATCCATTTCATTTATTTCTAAGATTTAAATTCTGTTTCTGACTTCTTTTTTTTTCGGTAAAGTTTTCATTTGTTACTCTTGCTTCTCCCAGAAATAGAGCAGTAAACAATAACATCAGTTGTTATTACAAATACTTAGATGACTTTGCTGAAAGAACATTTACTTCAAGCATGTCCCAAGAGTCATCAGATCCAGTTTGGCTTAAAGGTTCCGTCTAACATTAAATGCAAAATGTCCCTTTAAACTAAGATAGAGAATATGTTACTAAAAAACCTACAGGAAATGAGAAAGCATTAGAGATTGCATTGTAGTTTAAGCGTAAAAAGATTATGTCTCAACATACCATTGTCAATGACCCTTTTCTTAAATGAATCCAGGTGATACAAACTGAATATACCATTTTCCAGAACAGGAGACACATTTATATAGGTCATAAACATAGAATATCATTACACGTCTTTACGTGATATCTCTAAAAAAAACCCAAATAGTGAGCTCCAGACTTGTTTTAAATCCTCCTGAATTCAGTCTCTTTTGACTTAAATACAGACTTTAGCAATGTCTGATGAGGTGCCTCCTCCAAGAAACCCCACTTGTAGAGAGCATGCAGACACCACAGACCTTGCAGTATGCAGGAGGATAGATGGTAATTTCTAAAACTGAGATAAATATGATCCTCTACTGCAAAGAAATAAGGAGAAGTGATGGATTTTTATTTTCAACTTGGAATTTGTTTTACTCAGAGATGTTTAATTCATAATTATATCATGCTGGCTGAATGCTTAGTTGTGTTATGGCTCCCTGCCCAGAGTTCCTCACAGATACAGCTTTTAATAATTTCTTTGTGTTTCACAGATGGTCTGTATTTGCCTTTTTTTTAATATTAATTGCAAGATTTTAAAATGAAAAGAAAATGCGGTAACAACAGTGAAACAGTTTTAGGCTTCAAGCAGCTACTTGTCTCCAGAATTTCTTGTGGAATGTAGTTGCTTCACATTAATGCAAAGTCAGCAACACAGATACCATATCAATCTCTAAGAACAGTTCGAAATATTGACAATGTGTAATGCCTTAAGAATTATGTCTGATGTAACGGTAAGGGATTATCTGTTGGAATTGCAATTGCTGTAAAACCTCTCATAAGGAATTGCCATTTGTTGTTAGTCTGTTGTAGCGTAGCAGATCTTTGCTGCCTTAAACATACCTGTAAGGCAGTAAGCAGACATTCATTATTGCAATAAAGTCATAATCTTTTAAAGATCTACCTCGAGGCAAGGCATGGGGTGTGGGCTTACTTGGTTAACAAAAGCTAGACAATGCCGAAAAACTAGGAGAACAGGAACGGGGATTTTCTCCCTGAAAAAGAAGAATGACAATACATCTTCCCCAAAGTAGTTCCTTCTGAGAATGCACAGCTTATAGGCGTCTCCCTATGGAGACAATGCAGTAGTTTGAGAAGAGCACACAGTTCCCACCGGTATCCCAAATATCAACCGTAGCCAACCTCTGATAATCAACTTACTAAAACACCAAACTAGCAGCAACAAAAAATGGACTCATGACATTCTACAGCCTGGTATATACATTACTTCAGATAACGACAGGGAGATAGTCCCATCCACTGTGGGTACTGTCCTCCAGATAAGGCTTCACAATGACTCTGCTTTACCTTAACTTCCATTTTGAGTGACATTCCTTTTACAGGACCGGAAAGTCCTGGTTGATTGCACAAAATCACAAGTAGCCCTGGTTCTTCTTAGAAGCAAACACTGGGATCTTGATCCCAAATATTTCATATTTGAGGATGTTGTGGGGTTTGGCTTTAAATCCCTTATTTTCCTGCCAATTTCAAATGTGATTCAAAACTGAGTTCATTTTCTGATCTGTTGCAGTCATTCTCACAGGACTTTGTTAGAAGCAGAATATAGAGGGGATTGTAAAAAAATAAACTGGAAGAATTTCTGGAGCTGGCACATCCAAAAGAATTTAAGAGGCTAGATCAGATGACAAGGCCATCATCTTTATATTAATCCCTTCCCTTCATGCACATTTGGGAGGCCTGGGAAGAATTCTGTATCGCCTAGGTTTTTAATATGAAAAGCTACTCATTTACTCATAGAAAACCTCTACTGGAAGATACACTGTTTGACTGTCTTGTCATTAACAAACATGAAATTATGAACTACTAAAAGACAGTGACACAGTAGAGCAATCCAAGAACAC